GGGGGGGGGGGGGGGGGGGGGGGGTGGCGCGCTTCTGTCGCGAGGGATAAATAATCGCCAAATATAAACCTCGGGGTTAAGTGGCGGACCGAAGAAGGATGGTTGGGGATTATTACGCGTGAATGTATCTCGGCGGCGGGAATAAAGGACACGATAAAACACGTCGCCTAATACTCGCACGTCAATGGAGAGTGATCGGGCTGCGTACGGTACGCCGCGCGTGTACACAACGAGAGGCGTTAAAGGATCGTCTACAATGTGATCGCAGCCACGTCTCAAAGTCGTAGTATCAATCTGCGAATCGATCGATTCCCTTCGCGTAAACTCGTGAAGAATGAAAAGCTTTACTGGACACGTCAATGAAACTTTTCGTTTCTCGCGAATTCGCAGACGGACGCTGCGAGCTTTAAAACGTAACCACGGTCGCATTGTAGACGATCTTTCAGGCATCCTGCGGCGACATAGGTGCGATAGGGCATAGGAACGCGAGCACGAACGCGGGCGATACCACGCCCGCGTTATTATACGCCGAGTTAACGACAAGATTGTTTCTCAAAGTTAATTTACATCCACCGGGTCTGGCGCTAGAGAAGCGCAGCGTACCGATGCTTCCTCCGACGTGCGCGCAAACGACAGAGAGAGAGAGAGAGAGAGAGAGAGAGAGAGAGAGAGAGAGAGAGGGGGAGCAAGTACGCACACATACAATCTCGCCAAAATTAATATTCCGCTCTATTCAGAGAATCTTTGACGATAGGACACGGTGCGACATATCGTCGGGTTCGACAAACAAGACGGAATAACAGCAGTTAGGTTAACGTGCGCGCCGAAATGGCGACGTCGCGATTGCGTATCTTTGTATGCATCCGCTTGTTTGTCTCTCCGCGGCAAGCTTCACGCATGAAGTAACGCATTCGCGTTATTATAGCGGTGTCGTCCGCCAGACCGCATTAGACGTCGTTCAATGTTACTGCACCTTGGTAACGACAAATCCCGCGATCGAAATTAAAATGCGAGGATTAAAAACGCCCCCTTTCCCTCTTGTCTGATAACCGTTTTCCTTAGAATACGCTCGACTGGCGTCTCTCAGCGATGAAACTAGTCTCAGACTAAACTAATTTTAATCCAACTTAAATGATTTAGTTAGTTTAGTGTTGAGTAAACACGGTGAAGTGTACTTTGGAGTGACACCTGTCATTTATTTAAATCTTCTGTAAAGTTAGATCTCTGAGTGATCTGCGTGCTTCGAAGGCTTTGCCCTCTCGTTACGCCCGTCATCTTTTGAAATTTGCTTTTATTCCCCAACTTTATATGCATTTATACTTGAAATAGCAAAATCATATTTGAGTATTTTTAGCACTTGAGTATTAGCGTGCAGGATTGCAATATTGTCAATCACTACAGATGTAGTCATACTTTTATTTGTAAAATTCACATCGACTTCAATATATGATAAGTGCAATTATTTATTAGATTGACATTACTAATACATTATCTCAATATCGTTTGCGCTGAAATATCAAATAGCGCTTTTCAGTCACCGCGATAAATAACGGATCGCGCTAACAGTAGCAATCAAAAGGAGGACGTGCGCGATCCACCTGGCCAGATAATTTTGGCTAGATTTTTTTTCGCAGAAATTATGAAGATATTCCGTCATAATTTCTGGCAACGCGAACACCTTGAATTTTAAAGCACGCCATTAGCGATTCATTTATTCGCGCGAATAGGAAAGGAGAACGTCGAACGACCCGTACAAGAATGAATACTAAATATCGCGCATAAAAATATCACGGATCGTTCACGGTTATATTCCATGAACGCGGGAGTGCATGCGAAACGTAGCTCGCGCTTTCACGCTTTTCCGAGAGCTTTCACGACCGCTGCCGACCAAGTCGCTCGCAAACTACCGAATGTCCTCCCCCCTCGCCGTCCCTGCGGACTCCGCACACCCCTTTCTCGTGCTCCCGAGAGGGTTCGTGCCATGCCCCGATGCTTTCACACACGCGAATATTCCAAGCCGGAGGAGATCGGCGGCGCGGCTCTCGAGAGCGCGACTGTATTATCGAGGGATGCAAGTCGCGTGTCGATGGCATGCCTTCGTGGCTCCGAAACGTCGACGGAGGAGGATGGTGATGAAATTCGAGCGGGGTATCGAAAGCTCGGCGAATACTCCGGCTCCATTGTGGAGTCGCTCGCATATGGATACTCGCGCTCCTGGAGAAACGATATGAGAAATATTTGACTTTTAATGTCGCGCTTACTTTATTTGCGGAAAGATATCAATTCCTGCACGCGCAGGCTAGTCACGATAATTAGCCGATAATGAAACAAATCAAACGACCCAGCACGACCCATGCGCCGCGATACATGCATGTATCGACGTTCGAGAAACGACGCGTTTCACGCGTCATGGTGTTCGCACGTACGAAACGAGACGCGTCGCGATTGAGCTCGCGAGGTATCGCCGGGACTTACGTACGACTCGACTCAACAGACTTCTTTCAGGAAACATCAGCGACTCGCAATACATCACGTACATGACAAGTAAGTACAAACAACAGCGACGGCGCGAGAGCGAGGATGGCGTCCGATGTTATCCGCTCACATCTAGGGCGCCGCCGTTCGCGCTCGCGCACACGTAAACTAAGTAACAAACGTGGACCGTACGCGGCTCGTTGGCAAAAATACACTCCGTGCGGGTCGCGGAATGAGGTCGCAGAACAAGCGGACCTCGTGCACGTAACATCGATCCTCTCGGCAGAATCGCGCGAGAGAACCGCCGGAGGAGGCACGCGCCCGCTCGCGGAACGAGCGCGATGTCGCGCGGGGACGTGCTCCCGTAAATCGGCCTGTTTTCGAGCCCGGGCTACTCAATTTCGGAGGTCCGCTGTAATCTAAATTTCAAATCCGCTAATGTGTATTTTTGCCCCGGTCCCGTGCACGATTCCGCGCGTTCGTTCGCTCTCTTTCTCCCGCTCGCTCGCCTCCCCCTTGCCCGGTGTTATCGGCCGGCTCTTTCCCAGCGCTTTGAATTTCAAATTCCGCGCGACCACCGTGTCGGTCGCCGCGGCAACAACCGACTTTCGAGTGTTTCCACCCGCTTATGCGCTGTCATTTGTTTCCGTCGCCCTGCGGGGCCGCACACCCCGTAGCCACGCGCGCCGCGCGGTATCTGGCAGCCCGCACACTTTTATTTATGGCGCCACCCGGTATGTATCTGAATTGATTCCGTGATTTATTTCGCGGCCGATACGCCGCGACCCGAAAAGGCGAATTTCGAAAGCCCTCCCCCCCCTCTTTCTCTCTCCCCTTTGCCTCGACGTTGCGTGCGACGGGATGATTACTTTCGCGGCTCAGTCCGCGTTCGTCCGCTCGTTCTCGTTCCTCAAGTGCGCGTCGACTCGCACGCATAATGAGAAGCGCGAGATACCGTCTTCTCCGGGAAAAAATAACATACTCGAGCATTACGCTAATGCGTCGTTTTAACGGCAATGTAACTCCGACGTTATCGTCGACTAATCTTCCGCTGGCAGTGTCTTTTAACGGTTCTTGCCAGTCTTCTTAATGCACGGGACTTTGCACCTAATTGCACGCTACGGCTCGACGATCGCGAAAGTTCCTCCCCCGCGCGAGCAACGGCGGCGGGGAGCAAGAAAGTCCTCTCGGGGAGATGTGGGAGGAGCGCGCGACCCCTGGCTAATTGAAGCGCAATTAACCGCGTTAAAACGCCAAGTGCTGATTAGGGCGCTACGTCTACGTCGCCCTCGCCTCGCAGGGCGACCTACTAATCTATGCGCATACGTGACGTGGTGGTTCTTGCGTAAATTGAAAGTCGGCCTTGCCCTCTCATCGCTCGACGAGAGCGCGCGCACTCGACCGCCGAAATTCGCCGACGCGTTATCCCTCGTTTCCCTCGACCCTCCGTCCCGTCGAGTGCACCATCTCCGAGTTTCTAAATAAATACGGCGGATGAAGGAAAGACAAGAATATTCGATTGCGAGTCAGATAATCAAGACTGTGCGCGAGTATTCAATCGCTCGATAACGAGCGACTTGCAATCACCTTTCGCTAACTTCGCGACGAGAGAGTGTCACATACATATACAATGCACGAAAACAATGAAAAAGGATAAAATAGCACAAGAGAGAAAACAATACTCAAAGAAGATCTCACGATTGAATCCAATCAACTTGATGTACTCACTTGGGAATTGTAATTTCATGTTGCTTCAATTGTTAAATAGAAAATAGCAGATGTTATTTTTGAGATAAATCGAATAATGGAACCCTTTTGTGAAAGATTAACGAAGCAGCATATTTTTAGGTCAGCTCCGTTCGCGAATGCTACTTTAAGCTTAGAGTTGAAACTTTATTAGTGCCGCGACTTGATTCCATCCAATGTGAGGAAATATAGAAGCGACCCGCGTAAACGAGCCGTCTGAATGAGTATTTTCCAAGTATTACAAAAAAAACCGGAATCGCATTGCTCCGAGGAGAGGGAGTGGAGTTGGGTAATTCAAGAACGACCTCGACAAGGACTCGTGAATATTCAAGTCTGTCGAATCGAGAGGAGGACTCTCCTGCTGGGACTTTGATTGTTCTCTCTCTCTCTCTCTCTCTCTCTCTCTCTCTCTCTCTCTCTCTCTGCGGACGGTGCAAGAAGCGCCGTCGTCGCCGGGACACTCGGAGAAACGCGAGCGCGAGTCTAAGAAACGTTAATTGCGCCGATGTCGGGACGGGGAACCGCCGCCGCGATTTTACAATGGCCCGAAGGTGGCGGAGGATCTCGTTTCGGTCGGTCGGATTCTGCGGCTCACCGGATGATCCGGTGCAGCCTGCAGGCACCTACTACCTACTTATTTAGAATATTGTCGGCATACATCTGCATAAATTCGACGCAGGCCCGTCGACATTCTCGCTCGCGTCGTAGACCCACCCTCCGCAGAGACGCTCTTACGATAAGGGTGATCGGTCGACATGGGAGTTTGCGCACCCTTCCAGCCCCATTTGTAGCCACCGTCGCCGCCATCAGCGTCCCAACGCTCGTAAAGAAAATCCGCATGACGTCACCTGAAACTCTGTCCCAGACTGACGCGGAAGGGGAGAAAAGTGCGAGGGGTGTTGTAGAAATATCTTCGATGCGATGCGCATCGCATGCATTATCGCACCAGCGCGGAAGAGATTAAAGTATCTCGACGAACGTGCTTGGTAACCGATGATCCATCGTCCACGGAAACACGCGTTCGCGCACCTCCGGCCACTCCCGGTCACCTACGACACGTCGCGATACGCTGTTACCTCGACGAGGAATGACGAGAGGTGCACAAGAGAAAAAGAAAAGAGAGAGAGAGAGAGAGAGAGAGAGAGAGAGAGAGAGAGAGAGAGAGAGAGAGAGAGAGAGAGAG